ATCTTCTGGGAAAGGCACCACCCACTAGCCCCCCACTGGAATCCACAATGCCGGAAATCACTTTTCGAAAACCTCTAGTCAGGCGAATTCTTAAACAGCTCAATATCAACAAGGCGTCTGATCCGGATGAAGTGCCCTTTAGTACTTAAAAAGTGCACCAATGAACTCGTACCAGTATTTTGCAGAATTTTTCACCTGTTTTACAAAAAATGGGTTTTTTCTTCTTGTTGGAAGGCTGCAGCTTATTCTCAAAAAGGGCAAAAAAATCTACCTAATAACTATACACCAGTCGCTATTCTATCGGTGATATTGAAAATCATGGAGAAAGCCATAGACCACCACACCTTTGAATATTCGGAAGGATTTTGAATCTTGAGCGATCATTAATATGGCTTTCGGAAAATAAGATCAACGGGCGACCTTCTATCGTATGTCACCCGTATTAAGAATAACGCTATCGAGAAACAAACATGATAGTCAAGAGCTATTGCGCTTGTTATTTCTGAAGCCTTTGATCGTGTGTGGTATGAGGGTGTGCTGGTCAAATTACAATGCTATGACTTGTCGGGTCATTTTTGTGTATGGCTGTATGGCTCTCCAGCTTCCTGAATGAACGTTTTCTGCATGTCTCTGAAATACTTTTACCATCAACGATGGTGTTTTTCTGGGATCCATATTGTCTCCAACTCTCTTTTCATTATATACTACTACTATGTTGCTGTATCTGTATCGCTGCTCTTCCAATGTTTTGACAGAATCAACGAACTTAGGCGTGCGCAGCGTTATAGAACAGTACTTTCAAAAAGTTGTTCTACAGCGCCATCTAGTGGCGAGTTACAGAAAAATTGATAGCCTAAAAACCTTCTCTATGAAAAATTACTTATACATGTCAATTTTCATCACCATCGGTTGAGCGATGTAGAAGTTTATCACTTACCAACCAACCAACCAACAAACATCCATTTTTATATATTAGACTAGTTGTTGCCCGCGGCTTCGCCTGCGTAGAATTTGGTAGTTGTAATTCTAATTAGTACTATGTTGCTGTATCGCTGCTCTTCCAATGTTTTAACAGAATCAGAATCAATGAACTTAGGCGTGCGCAGCGTTATAGAACAGTGCTTTGAAAAAAATTGTTCTACAGCGCCATCTAGTGGCGAGTTACAAAAAAATTGATAGCCTAAAAACCTTCTCTATGAAAAATTACTCATACATGTCAAGTTTCATCACGATCGGTTGAGCAATGTAGAAGTTTATCACTTACCAACCATCCAACCAACCAACTAACAAACATCCATTTTTATATATTAGACTAGTTGTTGCCCGCGGCTTCGCCTGTGTAGAATTTGGTAGTTGTAATTCTAATTAGTACTATGTTGCTGTATCGCTGCTGTTCCAATATTTTGACAGAATCAGAATCAACGAACTTAGGCGTGCACAGCGTTATAGAACTAAAAACCTTCTCTATGAAAAATTACTTATACATGTCAATTTTCATCACCATCGGTTGAGCGATGTAGAAGTTTATCACTTACCAACCAACCAACCAACAAACATCCATTTTTATATATTAGACTAGTTGTTGCCCGCGGCTTCGCCTGCGTAGAATTTGGTAGTTGTAATACTAATTATGTTGCTGTATCGCTGCTGTTCCAATGTTTTGACAGAATCAGAATCAACGAACTTAGGCGTGCGCAGCGTTATAGAACAGTGCTTTCAAAAAAATTGTTCTGCAGAACAACCAACCAACTAACAAACATCCATTTTTATATATTAGACTAGTTGTTGCCCGCGGCTTCGCCTGTGTAGAATTTGACAGTTGTAATACTAATTAGTACTATGTTGCTGTATCGCTGCTGTTTCAATATTTTGACAGAATCAGAATCAACGAACTTAGGCGTGCACAGCGTTATAGAATAGTGCTTTCAAAAAATTGTTCTACAGCGCCATCTAGTGGCGAGTTACAAAAATTTGATAGCCTAAAGACCTTCTCTATGAAAAATTACTTATACATGTGAAGTTTCATCATGATCGGTTGAGCGATGTAGAAGTTTATCACTTACCAACCAACTAACCAACCAACCAACCAACAAACATCCATTTTTATATATTAGATCAACGAATTATTGTAAAAAACAAGATTCCAATATATTGCTTTGCTGAAGACAGCACACTTGTCTCGTCATTCCATTTGGATTCCAGACATCGGCTGCTGATGCACATTTTCACCAGCAGCAGGAGGGATCTAGAAGTGATTTCGAACTGGGGTAGTGACCAGGTTCAATTCAATGCCATGAAAACCCAAACATCGACTTTCTCCAAAAAGATAAATGTCCTCGAACCTGATATGATAATGTCAGAACAGACAATTTCGCTGTCTGCATCGATAAGGTTATTGGGGGTTGGAATGGTCACCAATATGTCTTGGCACAATCATGCAAAGGTTGCTCCTCAAAAGATTGAAACACTGTTCCGAACCAGAAAACTGTACACACCTCAACAACTTTTGATGCTTTATATAGTTAGATCAGACCTTTTTTGGAGTATTGATCACATGTATGGGAGCTTCGTCCCTAAGCATATCCTGAAGTTACTAAATTCCATCCAGAAAAGAGCCATTCGCCTGATTGGAGACACGAATGTCACTTGCAACCTTGATAGTCTGGAACATCAAAAAACGGTTGGAGATTTGTCTCTCATTTATAGATACTTTCACGGTAGGTGTTCAAGTGACTTGATTCCACCAAGAGCGGTACATATCAGAAATAGGCAACGGACTTTGGCTGCTCATCGTTTTGAGGCTCAACTCAGTACACCTCGAACTCCACTGTTTAAGAACTCTTCCATTTGGAAAACTGCGTATATGTTGAATAAACTTCCTGATGGCGTTTTCATAAATGAATGTATTCTCCAGTCATTTAAATCCAACATGAATCGCTACTTCCGCCCAGGTACCGCTCTCAGGGTCCCTTAAGGATTTTCCAGTAGTTCTTGTATTTTTTCTTCAGAAAAAATTATAATACACATAATGGGATGTTTTTACCGGTTTCATTTCGTGTTTTTGATCCTTATAAAGATCAATTTCTCGACGTTTCGTCAGAGTATCATTTGCCATCTTCTGGTGATGTCTGGATTATGGATCTGGACCTAGATCCAAAATCTATAATTTGTAATCATTTCATACCTGAACGTAGGTTTAATCATTAGTCTTCACATAGGTGGAAGATCATATGATTCAAAAAATCGATGTGAGTAAACACTGATTAGATTGAATTGAGTTAGTATGTACACGTGTTGCGGTTTTGTGGACTGTTCGATAAAAATCTCACAATAAAGTGTTACTTGAATATACAATGACATTTATTGATGAAACATGCTTCTATAAATAAATGCAGAAATTATACACAACTTTGCGTCAATTCTATTGTCGGCTCAAGTGACGTCATGTAGCTCCGGATGGATACGTATTGACTAATATGTAATGGCCATTTTTCCAACGCTCGAAATAATGACGCTTGTATTCTGCAAAATGAATATGAGAGAAACTAGGAAAATTCAAGGGGGTGGGTGGTTCGATGAAGGAGATACTTTCATCGAATTATCATACGACTGTAAGATAATCTTGGAATACATCATGCAATGTCGGCAATCCTTCAGTATGATCAAAGGAGACTCTCCGACGAAAAATCTAATGAATCACAATAAACAACAAAAACCGGAGAGATTGTAAAAGTACGAAATGGTCATATAAAAATTATGTTCGAGTTTTTTGAGAAAAACATTGAAATTCCTCATGTCCACATTTGAAAAAAAATTTATCAAATCGCGAATACAATAATTAAATGTTACCGCCCGGCAGTAACAATCAGAAGTGCTAATCCCCAACTAGTAGCCCAAGAACTTTTCTGGAAAGCAGATGTAATTTTTGAGAAATGGACAATGGATTTATATGACTGGAAATCTTGTTTCCAAACTCGCTTACTTCTGGTAATTTTCTCAAAATATTTATTGAAAAATCTGAACTTTTTTTTCTGTAAAAAAATGTTTTGTTTGAAATGAGATCGATCAGAAACCAATCAAAACATTTACTTGAATCAATTTTCATCCACAATAAAAACCAAAAACACATGCACAACATATTTCCTCGTAAACTGATTTCAAGTTTTTTTTCCCGTAATTCTATTTCATTACACTCTCAAAGTTATTTGCGTCATTATTCTGAAAAAAACACCTGACAAACGATTTTGCACATTAACTTCTTCTCTTTTCCAAAATTTTAGAACTGAATAATATTTTTCACAAAGATAGTGCTATTAACTATGGACGTTGCAAGCTGGTTGGCTAGCTTTGATAATTCGTGTAGTTTATGAAATACCAACAAAATCGAAAAAGACCTTCGAAAAATTTTCAAAACTTTGTGTTTTATCATCATCTGAATTAACTGATAGATATAGAGTTGATATTTTTCAATGGAGATTAGTTTTTGTGAACAAGCTCTTCTGCTTTCTCTACCCCTTTAACGTTATACAAAATAATAAAAACTACTTTACTAAAAAGAAATTAATGAATCCTGCACAGGGATTACAGATATTCGATTACAGTCCATTTGAAACAACCACTTCTAAACTCATAATTATTAAATTACACAGAAACCAATTTTTTCACTTAGCATTCGCGAATCCCGCGTCGAGAGACAGTATTGTAGCTCTGGTGTAAATCTGGTAGAAACTTCTGTGCATGATCTACACATTTTTGTAAAGAGTTTTCAGTCAATTTGATTACTTTCTCCCATATGTTTTGTATAATAATGTAGAAGAAGAAAGCCAAAAGTTTTTTTCGAAAATAATTAATGTTTTGAACATATCATTATGGTTACTTATTCATAATAGACTGAAGATGAAAAAATTGAAAGGGATTCGGAGTACTGAGACATCGATAATTTGCGTTTTTCTATTGCACAAATATAGACAGACCTATTAGAAAACAATTCTAACACTTACCTGAATTAACCTTCGCAGACAAAAATAAAACGCACAACATAACTCCACGCAAACCCATTTCGAATTCCTTTAATCGTCCCTCGATTTCATTACAGTACTAAAGTTATTCGCGTCACTATTCTGAAAAAACGTCAGGGCAAATTTTCGCGTGACACGCGATTTCGCGTACAAGTTGCCGCCAAAATAGCGAATCGCGTGTCGGCAAAGCTTTAATGACGCTCAAAACGCGCGACGACGGAATGAGCGCCGCAACGTCGACGTCATGCCACCCCCAGGACTCCAGCGCGCCTGTCTGTCAGAAGATCCTTTTTGAGGACGAACTTTTATCTATTCCCTCCGGAAATCGCATCGCTGGCCACCGCGCCACGAAAAGACGAGGATTGTTAACTGTTGATTTTTTTATTAACATTCAGCGGAACTACTTATGTCTTTAAGTATTCGGTAGATTCGTATATTCCCAATGTCAAATGTGAATCCTGAATTGAGGATTAATCAATTAATTCATTGAGAGAGTAACAAACATGATAGAGGTCTAATCACAAGATGCAAAAATTCATTTCACAAAAGTAAATAGTACTTCATTTCAATTTTTATTTATTTTATATTCATTTTATTGGATTGAGTTGACTTTTACTGATATCAAATTCTAGCCTAGAGAAAATGACATCGAATATCTCAAGTATACTTGAGACCTGATTTTTTAGTTTCTCATTTTGTTTACTGAAAGGAAAATATTGAAGCTGGGAATTGACACCCTGTATACTTGTTTCTAATTTGGAATAAAAATGGGTGAATACGCAATCAAATTTTGCAAAACAAAAAACAGTTGATATCCTAACCTCAGTGAGGTTGGAGAAAAAAATACGTAAATAAATGTTCACCTATTATTAATTATAAAATACAAGTTCAGATCGTAAATAAGAGAATGAAAAGGCATTGAGGAAACATCGACATTGCCACATTATTTGTTGAGTGATACTTCGATTTTGATACTTTTGCCTCATCGATTTTACCTTTTAATCTTTTTGTATACTAGTCTTGTCATGGATCCTCAGGTACAGAGTGTGTACTCTGAGATATCACTTGAAACAAAACATGTTCCACAAATTGAAATTTTAATTTTTTCACATATAGTCAGGGGCATACTTGAAGACTGGCTATAAATGAAATCATCTGAAGGAACAATTCGTTCAGGCCAGTCTCAACTCCCTACACTGTAGGTTAATGGACTGACACCTATCAGAAAACAACTACTTCCCTGGTTAATACCACGAAGGGCAGTGGATTATATCCGACAGGTGTCAGTGCAGGATGTTTCACTGAAGTTATTCCTGCATATGCTATTGGCGATACAACTGACCTGAACGAATTCTTCCTTTGAAATTTCAATAATTGGAAAACAACATTACAAATTTGTACAAAAGTCATTTTTTGTGGGAGAAATCAGAGTCTTTTGTCGACTTCTTTTTAGTTTCTTTACCTTCCACAATCTAAATGATATGAAAATTGTAATAGTGAAATTTATACATGTAAATTGATGGATGTAGCCGTTACTACGTGGTAGGAAATCATTATGAAGAAAAGAGAATTGAATCTTTCTTCATAATTTATGCAAGTATGGAAAAGGCAAACTTTTCAGTTTGAACTTGTTTAAACTGAAAAGTTTAAACAAGTTTATATTTTTTAGATTGTGAAAAGTGATAAAAAAACAAAAAAGTTCGATAGCATACAAATTGGTGAGATGGAAGGCGCATCAATCAGCGCATTCGGGATCTACCGGTTAGCTAACAGAAAGTAAGAAATGTATGTAGGCAAAATGGAGGTTCTAGATTTTATCTCGTCAAAATCAAAGTGGGATCTCACAGATGTTATGCCAGTAAGGAACCCGCATGGTAATTTTTCAAAGGGTATTGTGAAAATCTGTATTTTTAAATACGTAGAACATAGTTTTCTTCAAAATAAAAGCTTTGGGACCTGAAATGCTACTAATTCAATACTCGAGTCGGATCTAACATGGAAACCAAATTAACATCTTTGGATTCAGTGCACAACTAAAATGAAATCATGAATATGTAAGTTTCTTCATTTGACTTCATATTCGAAGCAGGTTAATTCAAACATGACCACATGGCAACTATTGCTACCTGCGTGTCATAAGGTCTTTAAGTATAAATACAGAAAGATGTTAACGAGAGTTCTTAATATGAATTAAAAAGAAGTTAATTAGCGGACATGACACCGCGGACACGTGTTTCTGGCAATTGGCCTCGTCAGCGCGATGCGAAAGGATGGGCAACACATGTTTTCAGTTATGTAACATCTAATAAGACCACGTAGGCAGCTTTAGCTACCTGCGTGACGGCCGGGTCAGGGATATAAATACAAATATAGATGTTATCGAGCGAACCACGAATACGTGTTTCTGGCTATTGGTGCAGCCAAGGGCGAAGATGGGCTACACCTGGTTATCAAATATGTCAAATATCATATATACACGGTATCGCCAACAGAAACCAAACGGAAATTTGATCCCATCTTTTCACTTGGCTACACCGTGCCAAGTGCAAAGATTCGCTATGAGGCCAATGCCAGAAACACGTGTCCGCGGTTGTCCCATTTTTTGTACTGTTGTTTACATGAATTCTACCTTTTTTTGATTAATATCATAAACACTGGATAACATCTATATCTGTGTTTATATACTGGACCCCGCAATCACGCAGGTAGCTATACATGTGCGATTGGTGACACCGTGCATATGTGATGTCGGACTTGAAAAAGGGGCAAACCAGGTTCATTATCAGTATGATGCAGCCAAGTGCAAGGATGAGCTGCACTCGGTTGCCAAAATAGGCACAAATGCACGTGACGTCCTGGACCCGGTTGTCAGTCATTTTGTCGTAAACACAACATCTATAAACTGAAATCAGAAATGTGTGGCTGGCTTCTGCTGATGGCTCCATACATTCGTACTTCTTCTGGCAATCACGTGTTGCCGATCCCTGGACTTAACTGTACCACGATGGGCCAAAATCTCGAAACACGTATCTCTGATCTGCCGCTTTTTTGAGTGCTATGTCCGAAGAATTATCTCCTGAATTCAAATCCGGACACTCAATAACCTTAATATCTGTATGATTTTTAGACCCCGATGTCACGCAGGTAGATATAGCTGCCTCCGTGATGACACTAGTATTATTGTAAGCACAAGATCTATTAACAGAAACAACAAATGTGCGGCTGGCTTCTGTTGCAGGCTCCGTGTATTTGTAGTCCTTTTGGCAACCAAGCGTTGCCCATCTCTGCATTTGACTGCATCATACTGATAATGTGACAAAAGACCGAAACACGTTATATGATCTGTTGCTTTCTTGAGTGCTACGTCCGATAAATTATCTCCTGAATTCGAATCCACACACTCAATAATCTTAATATCTGTATGATTTCTTAGACCCCAAAGTCAAACAGGTAGCTATAGCTGCCTTCGTGGTAATCTCAGTGGTTTTCTCCTAGACTCATGATTCAGCAACTGAAATAATAAATTTGCGGCTTGCTTCTGCTGATGGCAACGTGCATCTGTACTTCTTTGAGCAACCAAGTGTTGCCCATCCTTGCACTTGACTGCACCATACTGATAATGGGGCAAAAGCCCGAAATACGTTCTATGATCTGTTGCTTTCTTGAGTGCTATATCCGATAAAGTATCTCCTGAATTCAAATCCACACTCAATAACCTCAATATCTGTATGATTTCTTGGACCCCAAATTCACGCAGGTAGCTATAGCTGCCTTCGTGGTAATCTCAGTGTTTTTTTCTCAGACCCATGATTCAGCAACTGAAATCATAAATTTCATTTTGCTTGCTTCTGCTGATGGCACCGTGCATCTGTACTTCTTTTGGCAACCAAGTGCTGCCCATCGTTGAACTTGACTGCACCATACCGATGATGGGACAAAAGACCGAAACACGTTCTATGATCTGTTGCTTTCTTGAATGCTATGTCCGATAAATCATCTCCTGAATTCGAATCCACACACTCAATAACCTTAATATCTGTATGATTTCTTAGACCCCAAAGTCACACAGGTAGCTATAGCTGCCTTCGTGGTAATCTCAGTGGGTTTCTCCTAGACCCATGATTCAGCAAATGAAATAATAAATTTGCGGCTTGCTTCTGCTGATGGCAACGTGCATCTGTACTTCTTTTGACAACAAAGTGTTGCCCATTCTTGCACTTGACTGCACCATACTAATAATGGGACAAAAGCCTGAAATACGTTCTATGATCTGTTGCTTTCTTGAGTGCTATATCAGATAAAGTATCTCCGAATTCAAATCCACACACCCAATAACCTCAATATCTGTATTATTTCTTAAACCCCAAATTCACGCAGGTAGCTATAGCTGCCTTCGCGGTAATCTCAGTGGTTTTCTCTCAGACCCAAGATTCAGCAACTGAAATCATAAATTTGCGGCTTGCTTCTGCTGTTGGCACCGTGCATCTGTACTTCTTTTGGCAACCAAGTGTTGCCCATCTTGACTGCACCATACTGATGATGGGACAAAAGACCGAAATACGTTCTATGATCTGTTGCTTTCTTGAGTGCTACGTCCGATAAATTATCTCCTGAATTCGAATCCACACACTCAATAACCTTAATATCTGTATGATTTCTTAGACCCCAAAGTAGGA